AAAATAAAAACGATCAAACGTTTTTTTATACGTCCAACAATGTTGATTTATTTTATGGAAAGAATAGAATAGAGTGGTCCATGTCTCTTCCATATACCAGAAGATTGTTATAGCTCATAAGCAGGGAAACCAAAATATGCAAATGCATGTTTTTTGTGGTGCGTCGTATGGACTCATGGATAAGATATTTACACCTTTCAGACCAATTTAAGAATTTTGGCATCGATTTGTTGGAGCATATTTTTGCATATTTTACCCATAAGAGCTTAATTTTGCATGATTTGACTTTTTTAGCATATTTAAGGCATATTTTCGAGATTTTAGAGCATATTTTACTCTTTTAGGGCATATTTTGATGTTTTCGCTTTTTTTCGTTTTTGTACATTTTCAAAACTTTATTTAAAAAAAATAAAATTTTATTTTTTTATTTTTAATTTTTTAGCCTATTTTACAATTTTGAAAAAAAAATTTCGTTTGTAGAACTTAAAAACTGCAAAAAATACATTACTCTCATGAAAACCAATGTTATAGTTTTTTGTTCAATTACTTTTGATTTCATGAGACCAATCCATTTTTATAGTTTAAAAAACTAATTATTGGAATTTATGACAAAACCTACCTACCTACCTTGTCGTTTGAAATATGTTTTTTGGGGTCCAAATGGTTTCATGTTATTTATTGGTTATCTGAACGTAAAACGGAATTCTATTAAACTAGTTCTTCAAACTATGAGATGAATCAATTATAAAAAATCTTGTAGGATGAAATATGACACTAAACATTTATTATTTCATTGCAATTTCTGTCTTTTTGAGCTTTTCAATGTTAAAAAATAATGAAAAATTTTATTTTTAGAGCATATTTTTTAAATTTTAAGAGTATATTTTGAGTTTTTTACGGCATATTTAAAGCGCTTAAAACACTTTTTTTAGAGCATGTTTTCGGTTTCCCTGCTCATAAGATATTGAGGAGTATAGGAGGATGTTGCTTTATTAGAATATTCAGGCTAAACAAATTATAATAAATGAGCACACAGCAGAACTATTGAAAACTACAAACGTATATATATTTCGAATAATATTATTGAAGGGATTTCAGCTTTTATTACGATTTATATGTTTTGGTGATAGCCACACTGGACCTTTTCGATCTCAAACCGACAAAGCTGATAAAATCTTAAACCAAATTAAAAGCCATATGAAAATATTACCGTTGACGAACGTACCCGTGAATTTACCAAACTTTCTGGCAAACTTTTTGTTTTTCACTCATTTTGCAGAGAGAATGAATAAAAATCCTCTCTGAGAAATATGTGCAGACGAAAATTGAGTGTTTTCGGCTTTGCAGACATAATTTACAGTGCTGCCAAGTTATTGTACATAAATTTAGTACAAAATTCATATATATTTATGTGGTGGATAACAACAAAATTTTCAAAAAACTGTTTTTTGAAAAAAATCACTCATTTTGTTTTTGGACCCTAAGGGTCCAATTTTGATCTTGTGACAAAAATTGAAATACGGGGTGTTGTGGAGCAAGGTCTGGCTTGGTTTTTAAAATCTATCAATCGAAAATGTAATTTTTTCACAAAAAAAAAGTTGACTTTAAACGACTTTTTAAGAATTATTTTAATTATTAACTTTTTCAGTCGTCTTTTTTATCTATAAATGTCGAATTTTTTCAATTTTTTTCAAAATTGTTCCGATACTCAATTTTTTAATTAAAAAATATTTTAAAATAAAATTTTAATTACAAAAAATTAACAAATAAAGAAACTTTTTCAAGAAATTGCAAATAATTTCAAGATTTAGCTGATTTTTTCAGTGAAGTGATGCCAAGTCAGGTAATGTTCGTTTTGTTTTGATTTTATTTTGGCCTTTTTTATAGAAATTTTTTTAGGTTTTTCAATATTTTTAAGAATATTTGAAATTTTTTGCTCTATTTCGCAGCAAGCAACATTTTAGGGCGAATATTTTTAGTTTTCTTTGGGTATGTTTTTCCCCATTGCTCTTCGGGATCAGATTCAAAACTATGTTTTGGATAACTATGGTCCGTTTCTATTAACTCAACACTTAAAGCTTGAGAGTTACCTATTTTCTTTTCAATAGGTGTTGAGGTAATATATGAATGTTCTTTTCGTTGTGAGCTTTGAACATCAGCTATATTATATTCATTTAAACTTGTGAGTGTATACGCAATTTCGTTGTCCATTGGACCAAACATCTTGTATTTATAACGTAGTTCTTTTAAAGAACTGAGATAGTCTATTCTCATTTTATTAAAAAAGACATCGGCTCTCACAGATTTTTCATGCAAAATTAACTTTTTTTTTGCAAAAAGTAGGTATATTCTACTGGAGCATTACTTATATGTTCTCCTGATGGATCAACGTGAATACCCATAACATTTGTCCAAAGAACAACAAAGGCGTAAAAATTTCAGCATTACGATATTTATTAAGTTCATGGCCCATATTTATATTTTTAATATATGTTTCAACTTCATTATAGATTGTAAGAAACATTTCTCAGAAAGGACTACTAGCTGCAATATGCTCTAATGGATCTATTTTTTCATTCTCTAAAATATTACAGTTCTTTTTTCTGTTTTTGTTTTCTTCTATTAAAAATTGTGTCAATACTTCAAGGCGTTTTTCCAAATTATGACATTTATATGGCGTAAGTAAAACAATGAAAATACGTTTAAACCATTCTTAACACTCTTTAATAGTAGTAAAATTATATGCTGCTATGAAGGCATTCTTTAATAAAGGCCTTAACACATGATTTCTATCCAATCTGGCGTCCACATTTTTGCACATGATATGAATATAATGACATTTACACCATTGCAATATAACAAAATTTTGTTTAATTTTGGGATTAAATTCGAAATCACTTAGAAATTTTGCACAAGCATTCAGATACTCTAACGTATTTTTTGGCTGTTAAAGCTTTGCAACACAGCACCATATAATGCTGCGCTCACATCAGTACAAACTCTTTTGATTTTTGGCGGTTTGAACTGATATTTCACACCATACTCTCTCAAATTTGATTTTAAGTAATCTATATAATTCGAAATTTCTTTTTTTGAGTGTCCTGACAGAATTGCTTCTGCAATAGGCACAATTTTTTTACACCTCTCATTTGACCGACGTGAATATCATCTTCTGCATGATGTAACTCATTTGTTCTAAAATATCGAAAGGTAGTGCAATCGTTAAACTTAAAATATGCATATATTAATGTTTTTCATATTTTATGTTGTAGAAACATAAAATACAAACATTATTATACTTTAAATATTCTTCTCTTATCAAATCTCCGAGAATTTTTTTTCGTAATTTTATCAATATTTTCATTATTTACAGTTTTTAAACTAACAAGAAAAGAACAATCAAAAATATTACCCTTAAACAGTCGTTTAGGTTTTGTACTTTTTGGCTTTGTACGTATTTTTATTTAATTCGTCGTCGAAAATGGTATTCAACATTAATTGCAATTCTATTTTATTGGATGTATTTTTGAAGTCAACAACACTTTCAATTTCCTTTAAAACATCATTGTGGGAAACAAAATCCTCAACTTGAATAATTCTTTTAATTGAGGAATCACTGTTGATATTTTTTGTTTCATATAAATTTGTATTTCAGAGTCAGACAACAAAGCATATATATAATTTTGCTCCATGGGAAAACTTTCCAATTCTAAGCAATTAATACTTTCCGAAAGCTTTTCTTCATAATTTACAGTTAAAATATTGTTTGAAAATAAAACATCATTATCTTCTGAATATGAACTTTTTGTATTTTCTGGTGTAATTAAATCAGTTTTCTTCTACTTTCTAAAACACTGTTACCTTCAGAATGTAAATTTTTTTTATATTTTCTGAAATTCTTATATCAGTATTTATTTTAATTGTACTTTCTAAAATGCGATTGGAAATAGTATTTGTGCGTTTACAAAGTTTTGCATTTTTTACTATTTTGTTATATTTACTTCTTTTTTTATTCAAAGAATCTATAATATTTTGAAAGAACTTTTCATTTTGCTTTGAACAACTATTCAAATTTTCCAATCATGAAGAGTCTTTAATAGCATTAAATAATTCTAAATAACTTATTCTAAAAACCATAATTTCCTAAAAAAAAATGTATATATTATTTATTTTGAAAAACTTAGCTTAAAAACAAAAAACTTGGCTTAAAACATAACATTTCATAATTAAATGAATTAAAACAAAACGAAATAATCACATTATTGATCTATTTGGCCACGACATTCATCATGGATTTTTAATTCACCATATTTAATGGATTTTTTAATATACACCACGTGGGTTCTTTCATAATAATAAACATACAAATAAATAAAATCTGGAGACACATCAAAATTTCCTGCAAAGAACAAATAACGTAAATAATTAATGATTTAAAAGGTGTAGAAAATAAAAACGTCGTTAAAGTTGTAAGAAGTCTTAAAAGTTGTAAATGTTGTTAAAAATAGTAAAGTTGCAAAAAACGTCATAAAAGTTGGAAAATATTTTTTCTGCGTTTTGCGACTTTTTTTGATTTTTCGACGTTTTTCGATTTTTTTTTTTGATTTGTAGACATTTTTCCTTTTCCATTTAACTTTTTTTCGACTTTTTTGATTTTTCGATTTTTTTACTATTTTTTTTTTGCTGTTAAATTAGTTTATGTTTTAAACCAATAATAATACTACACAAAATTAGTTTTATTCTTAAAAACATCATATTAAATTACAAACAGATTCAAATTTATAAATATTTTTTGTTTAACAAAAATTCGCTTTGATTTATTTGTCAGCTTTTTTTTGACATTTTTCCCTGACAGCCAATTCGCCTTCAAGTGCAGGCACAATGTCAAACTACATATAAAAAAATATAACCAATTCGCTCGGTATTCTGAATTCGCCGATGACACTACCTTATAAAATTAATATACCTTGGCGTCATTACAGTTTTGGATTTCAAAGAAGATGGCGGTAAGTAATTTACTGTGGGTTTCTCTAAATGCAAAAAAATTTTTTCTTAGAAAAAAATTCATTTGCATTTAGAGAAAAATTATTATATTTGTTTTTCTTTATTTACATTATCATTTTTTGCAGAATTACCAGAAGTGCCTTTATTGCTTTAATGCCCTGAAGTTAAAAAAGGTGCCGCTTAGGGCACGGCACCAGGCCTATCCATTCAACCCGGAAGGCTATCCAGCACCACCAGGCTATTCAGCACCACCAGGCTATTCAGCACTACCAGGCTATCCAGCCAACCCGGAAAGCTATCCACCACTACCAGGCTACCCACCACAACAGCATCAAGTACCACCAGGCTACCCAGCACCACCATGCTATCTAGCACCACCAGGCTATCGAGCACAAACAGGCTATCCAGCATCACCAGGTTATCAAGCACCACAGCTAGGTTATCCGGCCTCAGCCCCTCCGGCAACAACCCACCAGGACGCAGCCCCTACTGTCCACGTAGAACCCCCAGGCCCGGTGGCTCCTCAAGATCAGTAGGCAACTCACTTTTTTTTATTATAGTATTATATATCTTTTTTATTTTAGTTTTATATATCATATATATATATATATATATATATATATAGTTTTATTCAATGAATTAATTTTTTAATTTACTGTATATCATGAATTCCATGAGAAATCAAATAAGAATTGACCGATGGTCTTCAGATTTCTTTAATTTTTTGTAAACACATACTCTATTAGACACATAAGACATATCAACGATAAATTCTTAAAAATTTCAAGAAACGCGATTTTTATGGCGATTTAAATTTGTTCGAAAACTACAAAAAATCAAAAAGGTATAAAACTTTGAACCTTTATATCTTTGAGTGTTCATATCGGACTTTGTTGATTTAGAGCCCAATCTATTACTATGGATGAGCTCTTTCATTCTAATATAATTTTTATATTAAAAAGTTTATTATTTACAGAAATGCACTTTTTTAATGCATTTTTGAAATCGTTCTCCCTGTTTAAAATTTTTTAAAGGTATATAAGTCGATTATTTGAAGCTTATTTTCTTTACCCAGGGATCAAAAATGTTCAAACTCAAAACAATCGATTCAAAATTTCTCATAGCCCCCATACCAAGACACATATTCTCGGAAATAGATTTATCGTTAATAACTTCGACAAAAAAATCGGTATCACCACAAAATTTTCCACATTTATATATAATAAGTACAGAAATCATATTACCAACGTAGATCTGAATAGGTCGATTATTGGTCACAGCTCCCATATATGGTCCACTTTCGAAAAATACTTAAATACAAATAACTAATTAAGCAATAAAGATATTGGAATGATATTCAACATAAATATGTTTTGTGTATACATATATCACTTTGCAAAATATTTTTCGGATTGATCCATAATTAGGCATAGCTCTCATATAAGGCCCATTTCCGATAAACACGTAATCGCACATATTACATAAGAGAATGAAGATATCAGTTTAAAATTCATCATGAATATGTTTAAAGTAGATATAAAACACCCTGCGAAATTTTTTCCGGATCGGCCCATAATTGGTCACAGCTCCCATGTAAGGTCCACTTCCGAAAATTACTTAAATGCACATAACCACGTAAACGCACATATTTCATAACTGAATGAAGATATCGGTATAAAATTAGTCATGAATGTGTTTAATGTGCAAAATGTTTTTCGGATCGGTCCATAATTAGTCACAGCTCCCATATAAGGACCACTTCCGAAAATCGCTTAACTGCAAATATCCAATTAAGAAATAAAGATATTTTAAAAATAGGCTATATAAATAAGTTTTTTTCGGATCAGTCCATAATTGTTCATATCTGTCATATAAGATCAACTTCAGAAAATCGCATATTTCATTGATATTAAAGTAAAGATATCGGAATAAGTATATTTTGTGTATATAAGAAATCTTTTTAAAAAAATTAGGGTCAATGCATAATTAGTCTTAGTTCTCATATAAGACCCATTTCCATAAGTCACTTTTTCCAATATATTTCATTCAATTATAAATATATACGGATAAAATCCGACATAGTGTGTTTTTTCGATAATTTTTGTTCGGATTGGCCAATAATTGGCCATATCTCCGCAAAAGCTATATATGATTTCTAAATGATAGCACCCTCATCACGGAAGCACAATTTAAACTTTCACAATTTATTAAATACGTATCTAGTAATATTTATAAGGGTTTTCGTAACAAGTAGCTTACAGGCAGAGGGTATTTAAGATTCGGCATAGCCGAATATAGCACTCTGACTTGTTTTTTTAGTTTAAGTTAGTTCAAATGCCCATCAAAAAAAATATATAAATTTTTATTTTATATAAATTTATCAATTATGCACTTACAAGACGTTAAACATGGAGTAAAATGTAGAAAATGCGCCCAATATGCATTTGCAATAAAAATGTAAATCTGAACATATATTATTTAGAAATGCATTTTTATGAAAGTTTACATTAGTTGTAATCGTATTTAAACATTTGCTTCCCAATTGTGATCAGTAACGTATGTATTTTAAGCAGTTTTAAATTCTGTTAAATGCCTAAAATATCAATAAAATTTAAAAAATTTTCAATATAAAACATTTAAAAAAATCGACAAAAATAGAAGTAATGAACGTCACAACACAATATTTTTATATTTTGCATAAAAAGCTTCAAATAATCGACTTATGCACTTTAAAAAAATTTTAAACAGGGAGAACGATTTCAAAAATGCATTCAAAAAGTGCATTTCCATAAATAATGCACTATCTTAAACTTTTTAATATAAAAATTATATTAGAATGAAAGAGCTCATCCATAGTAATAGATTAAGTTCTAAATCAAAGAAATCCGATATAAACTCTCAAAGATATAAAGGTTCAAAGTTTTATACCTTTTTGATTTTTTGTAGTAGTTTTCGAACAAATTAAAATCGCCATAAAAATCGCGTTTCTTGAAATTTTTGAAAATAAACCACGGAGTTGTTTTATTTTCTACTTCAAGAACGTATATTGATAATATGAAGGAAATTGGAAGACATGAGGTCAAAAATTGTCAGTTTTTCTGTGTTCTTTCCTGGAATTCATGATGTATGTATATTGAATTTATTTATTTTGTTGTTTAATTAGAAAAAATAAGAATTAAATTTGTTAGATAGATAGATAGATAGATAGATAGATAGATAGATAGATAGATAGATAGATAGATAGATAGATAGATAGATAGATAGATAGATAGATAGATAGATAGATAGATAGATAGATAGATAGATAGATAGATAGGTAGATAGAAAGTTTGTTTGTTTATGTGACAGTTAGTAAGTTAGTTAGTTAGTTAGTTAGTTAGTTAGTTAGTAAGTTAGTTAGTTAGTTAGTTAGTTAGTTAGTTAGTTAGTTAGTTAGTTAGTTAGTTAGTTAGTTAGTTAGTTAGTTAGTTAGTTAGTTAGTTAGTTAGTTAGTTAGTTAGTTAGTTAGTTAGTTAGTTAGTTAGTTAGTTAGTTAGTTAGTTAGTTAGTTAGTTAGTTAGTTAGTTAGTTAGTTAGTTAGTTAGTTAGTTAGTTAGTTAGTTAGTTAGTTAGTTAGTTAGTTAGTTAGTTAGTTAGTTAGTTAGTTAGTTAGTTAGTTAGTTAGTTAGTTAGTTAGTTAGTTAGTTAGTTAGTTAGTTAGTTAGTTAGTTAGTTAGTTAGTTAGTTAGTTAGTTAGGTACTTACTTAGTTAGTATTGGAATCCTGCAGATCATGTGATTAAAAACAATTTCTAGTTAAACACTAGCTTGTGAGGATCCTAAGACACCTATAACCTCGTCAATATACTTTACATTTAACTTAGTTTGGGATGATCCATATTTTCGTTTAATTTTTCCGGATTAAAGACGAATTTGTAAAAAGTTGGTAATTAACTTAACAGTTAACGTAAAAACTATAGGGTTAAGATAATTATGGTAAGGTGTATGGGAGCATATAGGTGTAAGTTTCGAAGTTTTATTTCATCAAATATTGCCATAGCCTAGACTATAGACTGGCTAGTCTATAATCTAGTCTATAGTCTAGTCTATAGTCTAGTCTATAGTCTAGTCTATAGTCTAGTCTATAGTCTAGTCAATAGTCTAGTCTATAGTCTGGTCTAGAGTCTAGTCTATAGTCTAGTCTATAATCTAGTCTATAATCTAGTCTATAGTCTAGTCTATAGTCTAGTCTATAGTTTAGTCTATAGTCTAGTCTATTGTCCAGTCTATTCTATAGTCTATTCTATAGTCTAGTCTATTGTCCAGTCTATTCTATAGTCTAGTCTATAGTCTAGTCTATAATCTAGTCTATAGTCTAGTCTATAGTCTAGTCTATAGTCTAGCCTAGAGTCTCGTCTAGAGTCTAGTCTATAGTCTAGTCTATAATCTAGTCTATAGTCTAGTCTATAGTTCTGTAGTCTAATCTATAGTTTAGTCTAATCTAAAGTGTAGTCTATAGTCTACTCTATAGACTAGACTATAGTCTAATATTAATCTAGCCTATAGTCTAGTCTTTAGTCTAATCTATAGTGTAGTATATAGTCTAGTCGAATCTACAGTCTAGCGTAAAATTAGTTAAGTAATTTAAAACCAAAAATTCAATTTTCTATGACTGGTCTAGACTATAGACTACTATAGATTAGACTATAGTCTAGACCAGGCATGGAAAATTGAAATAGTCTATAGTATAATAGTATAGTCTATATTCTAGGCTATAGTCTAGTCTAATTTAGAATCTACTTGAAGTCGATTCTATAGTCTAGTCTTAAGCTACGTTCACACTTGAAAAATATTTGGTCCAAATATTTGTAATAAAATATTTTTGAAGTTGCGTCAAACAAACGCAATATTTATTTCATGTTCAGACTTGAACAAATATTTGATGGTATTGTTTTATCAAACAGTTTAAAAATAATTTGATTCAAACATACACATGTTTTACAGCCACAGTATATCGTATAATTTAATGCAAGAAAAAAACAATTTACCAATTTGTTTTAATTTTAACTATTTTTATTAGGCTTAAAATTAAATTCATATAATAAAAGTGTATAATATTAATATATAACACGATTGAAAAAACTTTATCGAATCTGAACATAAAATATTTCATGTTAACAAACAGCAATGCGGATGATTTTCATAAAACAAATTGAATTGCTGGCAAATAAATATTTTTTCATTGTTTCATCAATGTGAACACCAAAAGTCAAATAATTTACATCATTTTGGCAAAATAATTATTTGATCTTGCAAACCAAATGTAAGATCAAACAGCGTCAAATAACAGCTGTTCTTTGTTTAATTTCTGAAAAAGAGTGTTATCACATCATACAAAAATGTAAATAGTCGCTAAAATGACTGGTTTTATCTTATTTTTTATAAAATAGATATCTGAGACAAAGTAGTTGTGACATTTAATAGAAATTTAAGCATAATTAAAGATAATTAAATTAAAAGATAATTATTATTTTTGTTGTTTATTTTGTTATTAATTG